TGCAGGTGCGGGCTGCTCCAAGGGCGGCTGTTGCAGGCACGGGCTGCTCCAGGGGCGGCTGCTGCAGGTGCGGGCTGCTCCAGGGGCGGCTCCAGGGGCGACCGCCGCAGGTGAAGGTAGAGCGCGGCCCCCAGGGCGCCCCGAGGGGCGACGAGAAGGGAGCCGCGCGGCCCCCCCCCGGGGCGCCGCGACGGGCACCAGGGAGGGCGCCGCGACGGGCCCCCAGAGCCGCCTCGACGGGCGACGGGGAGGGCGCCGCGCGGGCCCCCCGAAGTCGCCTCGACGGGCGACGGGGAGGGCGCCACGCGGGCCCCCCGAAGTCGCCTCGAAGGGCGACGGGGAGGGCCGCGCACGGCCCCCGAAGTCGCCTCGACGGGCGACGGGAGGGGACCGCGCGCGGCCCCCGTGGTCGCCACGACGGGCGACTGGTGGGGAGGCCGCGCGGGCCCCCAAGGTCGCCTCGACGGGCGACGGGAGGGGAGGCCGCGCGGGTCCCCGAGGTCGCATCGACGGGCGCCACGGAAGGGAAAAACCGCCAGGCGCCCCGAGCGCGCGGCGGGCAAAAATTAGGGTTTCGCCGCCGCGCACCACGGGGCGCGCGGCGGACAGTACGGCAGCGGAAGCGGGTGGTGGGCCCATACACAGGAAGGCGGCAGACATGCCGCCCTCTGATACCATGTCAAATATAGTAGGAGTACACAAACAACATATTCTGACAGCAGCAACCTGAGTAGGCTCATTAGTCAGTGTATACAGGCTCGACCCAGGCTGACGGGTGAACGTGGCCAGGTGACGGCTCGTTCGTGCACACGTGCAGATCGACACACGCTGACCCCTAGGAGTGGTGATAGTGACCATCGCATCGTGGAGGGCAGCGGTACTCACCAAGTTCGTAGAGAACGAGGGGAGGTGAAAACCTGAGAGTGAGCCAGACGGAACCGCCGGACACGGAAGAATAGTGGAGGAACATGCAAGAACCGAGCCCCCTGAGGGGTCAGCCAGAGAGACTGCAGCCGGTGCAGGGAGTGGTGTGACTGTGGTACTATCGCGAAAGAAGCAGCGGGAAGCACATGAGTCAAGTGTGAAGGTGTGCAAGGCCTCAGCAGGCGCAATACCAGAGAGAGCGGGCTCACTAGCACCTAGAGAAGCAGCCACTATACCTGGGTCGGGCGGCACACACAGGTAACAGTCGCCCTCAGCACTAACAGTCAAAGCATACATGCCAGCAAGGATAGCGTCATAGTCAAGAGCAAATATATCCACATCGTTCCTAAGTAGCTCTAGCCAGTGGGGGAGATCAGCCTCGTCGCCAAACTCTGCGCGCCAGGTGTCGTCAAGACGGGAGAGGCAGCAGTACTGTGTGTGACCAACCTTCCCGCATGTCTGTCCAGCGCGATTACCTGTACGAATGACGTACGGATAGCGAACACTACCCTAAGACGCCCCACGCTGCTGCTGCTGCCTCTGGCCGCCGCCAAAACCTCCCCTCTGAACGGCTCCACCCCGACCGCCACCACTTCCGCCGCCACCAATCCCACTGCCGCCACCACCGCCGCCACCACTCCCACCACTACCACCACCGCCGCCACCGACACCTCCACTCCCACCACCACTCCCACCGCCACCACCGTCACCTCCACCGCCTCCACCGCCGCCACCCCCACCACTCTTGCCTCCCTTGCCCTTGCTGCTGCGGTGCCTCCCACTAGGAGCAGTTGCATCCCCGACCTCCTCAGCAAGAAGGAAGTCAACAGCATCAGCAGAAGTTACAGAGGGGGCAAGGGGGGAGGGGGGACACCCCTCAAAGAAGGGAGTGAGAGGAGTGCCACGAGAAGTGCCTACAGCGACTATGCTAGTCTCAGTTGCAAGGAGGTGCTTCTCGAGCAGGTCGACAATGAGGTCAGTGGGGTCAAGGGCGAGAAGGAGGTCCCTTACTGCGCGAAGCGAGTCAGGGGGGCGGGTGACGATGAAGTAGAGAGTTATGTACATGGGGGGGGGGGGGGGGGGGTTCCTGTCTAGAAACTCGGTTTTAAGTGCGGCGCGGTAGCAGTATAAGTCGGCCGAAAGCAGCAGTGGCAGGGGAGGAGTAAGGAGCGACTACAGCGTCGAAAAGTGCTTTAGCAGTCTTGTGCTGGCCAAAGTGGGCGCGTTTGGCTCGGCAGGTGGTTGCGAACGGCGAGGCGATTAGTAGCGTCATGGGTAAGCCACTGTGAGCGAGTCGCACTGTCAGCTGTGTCGGGAGGAGCGAGTGAGGTCCCAGACGTGTGGTCAAACAAGGAGACGCCGTCCCTAGACTCGCTCTGTAGGTACAGCTCTGTAAGTCGTCTAGCCAGGTCTCAAACTGGATCGGACGGCCCTCAAGATCGAAGGTGAGAACCCTGAGAGAAGCCATAGCGAGCAGAGCAGGGAGGCACGCGACCAGCAAGACAGCACGCAGGCAAGGCAGGGCGGCTCGCAGGCAGCAGGGCGGCGCTACGGGCATGGCAGAGCGCGGGCACTAGGGAAGCACGCAGGGCAGGGCGGGGCGGCGCACGGCCAGGGAAGGGCGGCGCTCGGACAGGGCAGGGTGGCGCGCGGGCACTAGGGCGGCGCGACGGGCAGGGGAGGGCGGCGCACGGCCAGCAGGGCGGTGCGACGGGCAGGGCAGGGCGGCGCGCGGCCTGCATGGCGGCGCGACGGGCAGGGCAGGTCGGCGCCCGGCCAGTAGGGCGGCGCGACGGGCAGGGCAGCGCAGCGCGGCTGGTGGGGCAGCGCGACGGGCAGGGTAGGGTGCTACGAGAAGGGTAACGCGCTACGGGCAGGGAACTAGTCGGTGGGCCCTAAAAAAAACGGTCCCAGAGCATGACCTGCTCTGAAACCATGTCAGAATACTGATCGGGAATGGATTGCATTGAGACCAAAGTGAGTACAAGTACTAGCCCTGATTGGGTTGTACCTGTCAGAATATGTTGTTTGTGTAGCCTGCAGTGGGGTACTCTATAGTGAGTACAGCCCCTTAGGGTTTGCTATTTGTATCCTGCTGCTTACTAGTTCAATCATCATTCCTTCTCAATTCTGCTCCTGCACACAATCCTAGCTCGTACTTGGCTCCTCGTTACTAGTCCTACTGTGGCCTAGGCTACTAAGCCTAGGCCGTACTCCTACTACTTTTGACAGTACCCCTTATGGGCTACCCCACTACAGCCTACAGAACATAAGCATTATAATATTTTGACAGACATCGCCGTTAGGCTTGGAAAGCCCAACTAGGTTGGATGCGGCGAGCCAGGGCCGAGCTCGCTTGCTGACCTGTCCCGCCACCCAGTGGTTGAACACCTCTAGCAGGTGGGAAAGGCATGAAGGTTATGTGAGGAAGGTGTCGCGCAGATGCTCCGTGACCCACCCCGATGGCCCCGCGGCTGAAGCTCGAGCGGCAGTATGGATAGCTCTGGCCAGTATGTCAGTCGTGAGTATAGGCCGCTGAAGAGTGTCGACGGTGAAATTACGGACCCATTCTGGTACCTCGCCAACGCTAGTAGGGTGCTTCCCCCGCAGAGACTGCACCATGGCCTCAGACGGTCGAGCCAACTTCCTTGCCGTAAGGCAAGCCAACCCACCGCTCCACTCTCCCACCTTACACCGAGATCGGCACTGCGACAGGCGGATGGCATCGGGTCCTGGTCAGAGCTGGGCGAACTGCTGGCCGCGCCGCCGCAATGGCTGAGTCGAACAACTCCCGCCACCTCCCCTCCCAGAACGCCCCCAGACGCTCTATGGTCAGCGCCCTCTGGCCTATGCATGGCTTGATAGGTACAGCTAAGATGAGGCACAGAAACGTAAAAAGTAGGAGAGTAGCAGCTTCGTCCCCCGGTCGGCTCTTCAAACGCTTCAAGATGTAATAGAGCGTGTCTAAGACCCCCGACTGGGCCCGCTGTGGGATCCGGTGTACTGTCCTCCCACTACTCGCCTCCGCGCTGAAGAAGGCTTCCCATTCCCATTACGTAACCTCGGTCCACGCCTCGTCCCCAAATTTCCGCGGCGTCGGTCGCTCCTGCGTGTCGGCCTTTACTAGAGAAGGGATCAAGCCAAGAGCCTGCGCACGCCTCTCCGCCTCAGTCGCCCAACATATCCTCATGTGATCCGCAACAGCCCCGCGCGTAGCGAACATGTGGAAACAAGCCTCACACAGAAAAAGGGGGGCATAGAGGAGGCGACCTGGGAGGTTCTCCGTCCACCTATAACTCCTCTGCAGTCGCCATGGGGGTATACTGTGATCATATTATGTATGTTAATATGCTGTCGGTATGCTTATTATATATTATCGTTTTTTACTTTGAAATCCCACGCAACCCATTCGACGTTGAACATCGGGTCTTGTTTAATTCCTCTATTTATTGATTTTATTTGTATACCTTGGCAATATATCAATTAGGATATAAGAATTGACAAATGCCTTGCATAGTATCAATGACATGACTCTTCGGGCCACATAATCGAATCACGCTGTATGGCTGGTTATTTAGCTTAGGGCGTGTCAAGTTTCCATTTGTTTTCTGTCAGGACGGCTTGGTTTCTGTGTTTGTGTGGTTATCAAAAGTCGTTAAAACTCGTACCCTTTTCGTTTCGTTAGGCGCTGAGCAACGCTGTTTTGTCGTATTGCATCCGCACGACGTCGTTTGCGTCGCAATACAACCTTCGACTTCGCACGCGTACGGACGTTCGTCAAGTAACGCCTTGACTTTCAGCGTTTAAAAAACAAATACACGCCCTAGAACTGACCCAGTGTGGGCAGAACCACTTTCCATCACACGCCCTCATTGTTTCGCATGAGTGCCTCGCGCCCTCATTGTTTCGCATTATTTAGCGCCATCTGGCTCTATTTCACCTTATTTTCAGTCGACATGCCATTTCCCTCACACGCTTGACAGTAGCATCACATTGCATAGTGCGTTGATTTCCGCCCGCGCCCGTCGCGCACTCCTTGTCCATTTGCGCCGTCGAAATCACTTAGCGCCGGCGCAATGCCAAAGATCTCGCCAATTAAGCAGCTCGCCGACGCTCACGATGACGGAATCTGGGCCGCCGCGTGGGCGCCGCCGACGGACGCGCGGCCACAGGCGGTGCTGCTGACGGGATCCGTCGACGAGTCGGTGCGCGTGTGGGCCGGCGACGATCTGACGGCCGCGCGAACCAACAGCGGCCACACGCTAGGTGAGGCGACAGGCGACATGCGACAGGCGATAGTCGACAGGCGACGGGCGACATGCGACATGCGACAGGCGACACGCGAAATGCGACCCTCATCTCGCTCCCGCTCTCTCCCGCCCCCCTCTGCTCCTTCTCCCCCCCTGCAGCGCCTGACAGCTTCGCCAGCAGTCGCATGGGCGACAGGGCACGCATGCCCATCCCCTCGCCCCTCTTCCTCTCCCGCACCCTCCCCCTCTCCGCATACTCCCTCCAGTACGTCTCTCCCTCACTCCCTCTAGTACGTCTCTCCCTCACTCCCTCTAGTACGTCTCTCCCTCACTCCCTCTAGTACGTCTCTCCCTCACTCCCTCCAGTACATCTCCTCCCTCACGTCCTTCCTCCCAACACCCCTCACTCCAGGCGGGGTCGCCCTAGCCGCGTCTCCAACCGCCTCGCGAGCAGCGGCGTCCTCGCCTCGCCTCGCCTCGCTGGCCTGCGCCCTGCGAGTCTTAGAAGTCCACCCCGTTTCTCTCCCACCCCTCTCTTACCTTCCCCCCCTCTCTTACCTTCCCACGCTTCTCTTACCTTCCCACCCTTCTCTTACCTTCCCACCCTTCTCTCACCTTCCCACCCTCTCCCACCTTCCCACCCCTCTCCCACCTTCCCACCCCTCTCCCACCTTCCTCCCACCTCGCCTTCTCATGCCCCTCTTGGTCCGCCAGGTGTGGGCGCCATAGCCACCTGCCTGACCATCTCACCAGCAGCGTCCTCCTCCTTAGACTGCTTCGTGAGGGTGTTTGACGTTCACTCCAACACCACCGCCCCCACTCCCCTGCTCCGTCCCCCCCCTTTCACTCCTCCAGGCGTGGTGGCCCTGGCGGCCTGTCCAACCACCTCACGAGCAGCGTCCTCGTCCCTGGACTGCTTCGTGAGGGTCTTTGATGTTGACTCCAACACCACCATCGCCACCCTCGAAGCCCCCCCTGCTGAGACATGGCAGCTCGCCTTCCACCCGCAGGTTCGTTATTTCTATCTTCTCATCTCTTCTCTCTTCTCTCTTCTCAGCCCTTCTCTGCTCCCACCCAGACCCTCTCTGCTTCTCTCCTCTTATATCTCTTTTCTTCTCATCCCTTCTTTCCTCTCATCCCTCATGTCCCCTCAATCCACCTCTCCTCTCATCCCTCCTCTCCTCTCACCCCATACCCTTACTGCTCCACATGAGTCTTTCATGCACCACACTTCCGCCACCACTGTCCATACCCCTTCTTCTGAGAACCAGCTCGCTTTCCACTTTCACCTGCTGCTGCTGCTGCTGCTCTCGTCCTCGCCTAAGTGGACATATACGCTCTGGAGGCGAGCGTCCATACGCTGGACGCTGGACGCTAGCCTAAAGAATTTCTTGGCAGCCAGACAGAAATAATAGCGAGACAAATTTGACATTTGCGATTTCAGCGTGAATGTAATTTCAAAGTGGATCTGGTTCAATTTCGCCAAAGCATAACCAGAACCAACAAATTGTTCATGCAAATTCTCTTTGTACTGCATTTCACCCCTCCTAATTTAGCAAAGCCAACCCATCGTAACTCTGGCTGGCACGTTTCCCAGCCAGAGTTAGTCGACGATTACGTATCACTAACTACCTCACAGACGACCAATTTATTCCCAACAACTAGCTCATTTAGACTTGCATTTACGCTGTCGAAATCCACCTCTACCACATCCGTTCAAAAAACTCCTTTAATCAAGCGAATACTTTTTATTCCAGCATAAATAACGTTCACCATCGCGATTCCATGGCGAAATCCTTAGGTGCTCGTTTACCATTTACCCTTCTCTACCGCCTGCTGCCCGTGGGCCTTGACCATCACAGGCACACCGTCTCTCTCAAGTTTTCCATCTCTCCACCACACTACTACTACCCCTTCAGCCTTTCTAGCAACACCACTCCACCCCTTCGTTTCACCCCATTGAACCCCCTAATACAAACCTCGCAGGGCAGTTTTCTTGCAGTAGCGGGCGGCAGCAGCCAGGCTGTCAAGCTATGGAGCACTGCCACGTGGCAGGAAGCCACCACTCTCGACCTGCCAGCTGGACCCGCAGCGCCGGCCACCGCGGGCGGCAGCAACAGCAGCAGCAGCACAACCTTGGCCGGGCGGTTTGTCTTGTCTGTAGCGTGGAGCGTGGACGGCAAGAGGCTGGCATGTAGCAGCATGGACGGCACTGTAGCGATTTTTGACACGTCAGCATCGCCCTTCCGGTTCCTGCATTTCCTGGAAGGCCACCACCTGCCTGTTCGCTCCCTCGCCTTCTCACCCATCGACCCCCGCATCCTCATCACTGTGAGTCTCTCTCTCTCTCTCACCCTTGAAGCTGAGCTGAGGGTCGATGTAGGAACTGTGTATTCCTGTCACTTCCCGGTCCAGCTCGTTTGTGTATTGTTGTACGAGCAGAGCTTGACCTTGAAGCCGAGGGGAGGGTTGGGCTCCTTCCACTGCATTATTGGTGACTTTTGAGTCGACTCGAAAGTCTACTGGCTCACCCACGTGACCGTCCTTGTGCCAGCACAGCACAGCACAGCACAGCACAGCAGCCCTCTCCTGGGTTATTCTGCTTAGTCCGATCCGAGTTGACAGCACAGGCAACCGTGCTTGCGTCACTTTTGGCCCGACTCAAAAGTCGCCTCGAGAGTTCTCGACAGTGACGTGAGCACAGTTCCCATCCCTGCTGTATGGGCTGAGCTGGCATCACAGCAATGGGTTTCTGCGTTGTCGCGGTGAAGCCGCCTGCCATGATTTTTTTAGTCGACTCAAAAGTAATCTCGCACTTCCCTTCCCTGTGCTGTATGGGCTGAGCTGGCAGCCTGGGATCACAGCAATGAGTTCCTGACTTGTCAGTAATGGACAGGTAGGATGGTGCTTGCATCATTGCACCAACCTTTCTCACCTTATGAATGCTTTTTACCTTCCCCCTCTCAACCCCCCATTCCCGCTCTTTCTCCCCCACCTCCCTATCCTCCCGCCGTAGCACTTCCTCCTCCGATCAAGCGAGTGACGATCGTCACGACACACACACAAGACGCGGATGATGCATTCTCCCCCTCTTGCCGCTCCTCCTTTACCCCTCCTTCCTCTCCCCCTTGCCATCACGCGAGTGACGATCGACACATTCGTGGGTATGACGTTGAGGGCACAAGTGGGTCCAACTTGCTTCCACTGTCTTCCCCCTTCTCCCATCGCCCTTCCCCCTTCCTCCTTCCCGTCCACGCGAGTAATGATCGGCACGCACACGTGTACGACGTGGAGGGCGGGCAGCTCAAGGCCCGTTCCCAGCCCGACTTTTGAGGCGCCTCAAAAGTCGACTCTCTACCCGCAGCAGCTCATGGCGCATTCCCAGCCCGTTTGCTCTTCTGTGCCCCCCAGCGCCATTCCCAGCCCGTTTGCTCTTCTGTGCCCCCCAGCGCCATTCCCAGCCCGTTTGCTCTTCTGTGCCCCCCAGCGCCATTCCCAGCCCGTTTGCTCTTCTGTGCCCCCCAGCGCCATTCCCAGCCCGTTTGCTCTTCTGTGCCCCCCAGCGCCATTCCCAGCCCGTTTGCTCTTCTGTGCCCCCCAGCGCCATTCCCAGCCCGTTTGCTCTTCTGTGCCCCCCAGCGCCATTCCCAGCCCGTTTGCTCTTCTGTGCCCCCCAGCGCCATTCCCAGCCCGTTTGCTCTACTGTGCCCCCCAGCGCCATTCCCAGCCCGTTTGCTCTTCTGTGCCCCCCAGCGCCATTCCCAGCCCGTTTGCTCTTCTGTGCCCCCCAGCGCCATTCCCAGCCCGTTTGCTCTTCTGTGCCCCCCAGCGCCATTCCCAGCCCGTTTGCTCTTCTGTGCCCCCCAGCGCCATTCCCAGCCCGTTTGCTCTTCTGTGCCCCCCCAGCGCCATTCCCAGCCCGTTTGCTCTTCTGTGCCCCCCAGCGCCATTCCCAGCCCGTTTGCTCTTCTGTGCCCCCCAGCGCCATTCCCAGCCCGTTTGCTCTTCTGTGGCCCCCAGCGCCATTCCCAGCCCGTTTGCTCTACTGTGCCCCCCAGCGCCATTCCCAGCCCGTTTGCTCTTCTGTGCCCCCCAGCGCCATTCCCAGCCCGTTTGCTCTTCTGTGCCCCCCAGCGCCATTCCCAGCCCGTTTGCTCTTCTGTGCCCCCCCAGCGCCATTCCCAGCCCGTTTGCTCTTCTGTGCCCCCCAGCGCCATTCCCAGCCCGTTTGCTCTTCTGTGCCCCCCAGCGCCATTCCCAGCCCGTTTGCTCTTCTGTGCCCCCCAGCGCCATTCCCAGCCCGTTTGCTCTTCTGTGCCCCCCAGCGCCATTCCCAGCCCATTTGCTCTTCTGTGCCCCCCAGCGCCATTCCCAGCCCGTTTGCTCTTCTGTGCCCCCCAGCGCCATTCCCAGCCCGTTTGCTCTTCTGTGCCCCCCAGCGCCATTCCCAGCCCGTTTGCTCTTCTGTGCCCCCCAGCGCCATTCCCAGCCCGTTTGCTCTTCTGTGCCCCCCAGCGCCATTCCCAGCCCGTTTGCTCTTCTGTGCCCCCCAGCGCCATTCCCAGCCCGTTTGCTCTTCTGTGCCCCCCAGCGCCATTCCCAGCCCGTTTGCTCTTCTGTGCCCCCCAGCGCCATTCCCAGCCCGTTTGCTCTTCTGTGCCCCCCAGCGCCATTCCCAGCCCGTTTGCTCTTCTGTGCCCCCCAGCGCCATTCCCAGCCCGTTTGCTCTTCTGTACTCCCCAGCGCCAGTCCCCTGCCACCCTCACCTCCTTTTCCTCCTCTTCTGTCAACCAGGCGAGTGCTGATTGGCACATACACGTGTACAATGTGGTGGGAAGGCAGCTCATAGCAGCGATCTCAAACCACGTTGCCTTGCTCCCCTTCCTCCCTGCCACCCTCTCCTTTCCCCTCTCCCCACTCCCTCCCCACAAGGCGAGTGACGACCGCCACACACACGTGTACGACGTGGAGGGCAGGGCAGCTCATAGCATCGCTCTCAAACCACGTTGCCTTTCTCCTCTTCCTCCCTGCCATGCTCTCCTTTCCCCTCCTCTTCTCTTAATCAGGCGAGTGACGACCGCCACACACACGTGTACGACGTGGAGGGCAGGGCAGCTCATAGCACATTCCTCAGCCATTCCCCTGCCACTCTCACCTCCTTTCCCCTCCTCTTCTCGTATTCAGGCGAGTGACGACCGCCACACGCATGTGTACGACGTGGAGGGAAGGCAGCTCATAGCAGCGCTCTCGGGCCACACCAGCTGGGTGCTCTCTGCTGATTGCAGCCCTGATGGTGCTACAATCGCCACAGGTACGCATGTGTGTGTGTGTGTTAAGAGGGGTTAGGATGAAGGGGGGATGGGTTGGGGCTGCGATGCCTAGTGTGTGTGCTCATGCCAGCTCATGCCAGCTCATGCCAGCTCATGTCGGCCCTCTCAGATCACGTCAGCTGGGTGGCGCTGCTGCGGTTGCAGTCCCCAGGTGCTGCAGATGCTGCTGCTGCGGTTGCAGTCCCCAGGTGCTGCAGATGCTGCTGCTGCGTCCTCCTTGCACCCATGCCACCGTGTGCTGGGGGCCTAGTTGGTTCACATGCTCCCCTTGCAACGCCTGCTGGTCTCAGTCACCCCTTCTCACCGCTTATCACCACTTTTCACCCCTTTTCATTGCTTCTCACCGCTTCTCTTCCTTTTGCCCGGCACAGCAGTCACCCATCAGGCTCTAGCTATTGCACATGAGGAGATATGAGCATTTATATATGAGGCAGAGATGCAGGCAGCAAGGAAGCACAAGGACAAGGTGTGGGGCGTGGCGTGCCGCACTCCTCTTCACCCCTTCTCCTCCGCACTCCTCGTCGTCCAACCCCCTGTCACCCTGTGGGACATGACATGGGGCAAAGAACAGCCCTGCAGGTAGCCAGGTGTGGGGCGTGGCGTGCTGGCTGTACCCCTTCCACCCCTTTTCACTACTTCGTACCCCTTTCTTTCCTCAAACTCCTCCCTGCGGCCCTCAGGCTCCAGTGATAGGACAGTGAGGCTGTGGGACATGAGGCAGCGGACAGCCCTGCAGGTGGCTAGGAAGCACAAGAACCAGGTGTGGGCTGTGGTGTGCTGCGCCCCTCCCAACCCCTTTTCACCCTCACCCTTCTATTCCCTTATTTCCATTCCTCCCTGTCACCCATCAGGTTCCAGTGATCGAACAGTGAGGCTCTGGGACATGAGGCAGCGGACAGCTCTACAGGTAGCCAAGGAGCACAAGGACCAGGTGTGGGCTGTGGTGTGCTGCGCCCCTTCTCATCCTTTCTCACCCCCTCTCACCCCTTCACTTCCTCTCACCCATCAGGCTCCAGTGATCGCACAGTGAGGCTGTGGGACATGAGGCAGAGAACAGCCCTGCAGGTAGCAAAGGAGCACAAGGACCAGGTGTGGGCTGTGGCGTTCCGGCCCCCTGGGGGCGAGGGGGTGAGGGCAGGGCGGTTGGCGAGTGTATCGGATGATAAATCGATCTCTCTGTATGATTATTCGTGATAGGCGTCCCTGACCTTGTGGTGACAGACAGAGGGTTCTTGTGTTGAAATGCAAATGAAGATTCCCCAAGCGGTGCTGCTGACGGGGCACGTTCACGAGTCGGCGCGAGGAAGTCAAGTCAGAAGCCAAATTGCTTCTAAACAGCAGTTTGTTGCTGCTTCCTCCCAACAGTGAGGGCACGGTCCTCCCGTTACTTGTTTAATGGGAATTGAAGGCATGTCATCGTACGAATTTGTATTAGGTTATAGAGTGGTCCCGTCCCTAATTTTAGCTATACATCGGGAAACTCTCAAAGGAAACCGCCAGCCGTGCATGTTTAGTTCGTTCGGTCTTTGCAAGTCAATGTCGCTCCAAGCAAGCTCGACACCTTCATTTCTAGCACAGTCAATGACTTCCATCGACTTCCACTCTCGAGGTCACATCGAGCTTAACCGTAGATGCCATTCCCATCCCTGCGGTCACTAGCTGTAACCGTCCGATCAAGACGCGAGAACGAACGGCAGGGATGCACGGGAGCAGCTGACAACCGCATCTGATCCGACGGGTTGCTGCTCGCAGTAGGTCCTCTACATGCAAACAGTACTACTAGTACTAGTACTGTAGTAGGTTTCCGCTCCCACTACGGTAATTCCTTGTTTCAACACACACTTGCAGACCTTCTGTCTCCGAGACCCCGCGCATGCGCAGTTCATCGCCCCCGCGCATCGCCATAATGGCGTGTCTCGTTCATCCGCGTCTCACGCTTTTGTGGCTCCTGAAAAATATTATCCGTCTCGCGCTTTTTCTCCTCGCATTAAAACAACATCCACCCGCGCATGCGCAGTTCATCTGTTACTACCAGTACGCAGTCTCCTCGACCGATTACACTTGCCCGTGCAACGAGACTGCCTACGACGAGACCCAAGGTGTGAGGAAAAAACAACTTCTAAGAGTAATGACTGGGGCTGTGCCGCGCGCCAAGAGTAAACAATCATATTTCTTTTTGCGGGTGCCTGCGCAGCCAAGGTGGTGGCGGAGTTTGTCCCATGTGGCCTGTCAGACCCGTTCGTGCCGTCCTACTGCTCCGTGCGAGGAGTCTTCTGCGACTACCGCGGCATGGTCAACACGCTGTGAGTGAACCGGGCACATCCATATGAACCCCTTTTTTTTTCGTACCGTACGGCGTGACGGTACGAAAAAAAAAGGGGTACAACCCGCCGTGACAGCGGCGCCTCACAATCCCATCACATGTGACAGAAAGTGGGAAAATTTGACGTTCGCAAGCCTGGCAGGCTGAATTTTGGACAGGCCATTTCACGGATCAAATTGGGATAGACGCTTTTGCAGACGTTTAGTTTCGTATATGCCACCACCCAACGTTCGCCTCACTGCGAATGCTGAACAGGTTCCTTGTATCTGAAGAGCATTCGTTGCATAATTGGCGCTTGCTTAATGCTTGCTGATAGCAATCCTGAGAAATCCCTTGATGCTACGTTAGTTGGAGGTTGCGTGGGGCTAGGTTTTGCCCCCAACCACCGAACGGTGCTGCTTTTGCTTCTCACCTTCGAGTGAGCTGCAGGTTGGCGTGGGGCTGAAGATTGACTTCGGAAGACTCAACTAATTCGGTGCCACATGGCAGCACCAGAAAGTTCGAGACTTGAAGGAACATTCGGATGAGTGAAATTCGAGTGTCGAATTTCACCACTTCGAAATGTTACGAGAACATTCGCGAAGTGTAGCGATGCGATGTTACGAACGCGGTTCGATGTTGATTGCATGATATAAAACTAGTTGCTTTGTATGCATGTTTCATACTGAAAATCAGAGTTTTCTATACACGGTTCAACTCGACACAAAATCCAGAGACTTTCTATCCTTCAATCTTAGAGCACTACCTAGCACGTTGAAAGCCGTATCTCAGCCGATACTTGGGCGAATTACGTGTTCTACGGCTCCTTGAAAAGCCAAGAGTGTGCTCTAGTGATTAGTACAAATCCCAGTTCCTGCAAAGTAGAGGAGAGTCCTTTACATCAGTGGTATCAGAGCTGGTCGGAGGAGTCTACGCGCGCGACAAGGAGCAAGCATGATGACGTCAAGCGAAGCCTCCGGCACTTCCTCAGGTGGTGTCGTCTCGAATTCCGGCGAACCCTGGGCAACCTCGACGATGTTCGACACGTCGGCGGTACCGATTTTCACGGGACAAAACTACTCCGCGTGGAAGTTTAAGTTCCAAGTGCTCATGATGGAGCGGGGACTTTGGGGTTACTTCGATGGAACGGAGAAGAAGCCGGACGATGAGAGCGGCATCGCGGCATGGAAGAAGAAGGACCAAAAGGCGTTCGCAACGTTGATTTCGCGCATCGGCATCAACCTCGTGAGTTCGGTGTGCATGTGCATCAAGCTCGAAGCGTCGGCGCATGAAGCGTGGAAGCGGCTTGAGACCATCCACGTGAACAAAACTCTCCACGGCAAGATCCTAGCCCGGAACGCGTTCTACACGGTGAAGATGCGCGCGGGCGAATCGATGCACGAGTATGCGACTCGTGTGGAGGAACTCGGGGAAACGTTCATGGACCTCGGTGGAACGGTCACGGAGGAGGATTGGATTTTGACCTTGCTATGCGGCCTTCCGGAAGAGTGGTCGACGGTGATTACGACACTCGATAGCGTGCAAGACACTTGGACGAAGGAAATGGTGGTCGGTCGGCTTCTCCATGAAGAATCGCGTCGCCGACAATTCGCTAATGAGAACGTGGAGACCGCCATGTTCTCCGGAGGGAGTTCTGGAGGAAATTCCAAGTGGAGCAAGGGTGCGACGAAGAAGTCGTACGGTGGAAGCGATCGCGGCAAGGGAAACACATCGAATGGCGCGAGCAAGTGCCACTATTGCGGCAAAGCGGGACACTTTTGGCGAGAGTGTCGGAAGCGGCCGAGCGATTGGACTCCATCGAAGGCGCGGAACCACGAGGGCAACGCGCACACGGCATCCGGCGAGGCGGATGATACAAGGGACTCGATCGTGTTATTGGCCGGTGACGGGACCAACACTCCAAGCGACGCGTGGTTCCTCGACACCGGCGCAACGCAACACATGACGCACTCGGCATCGTTCCTCACCAACGTTGGTGCACCGGGAGACGTCACGCGTGTCGTCTTCGGAAACAACAAGTCGCTACCGGTGGTCGGAGTTGGGAGTACGCGTCTCATCGTCGATGGCGGACCGGTGGACATCACGAATGTGCTTCACGTCCCGGGGTTGAAGGTGAATCTACTCTCCGTCACTCAACTCGCGAAGAAGGATGTGAAGTTCACCATCGATGGCGCGACGATGAACCTCATTTGGAAGGGGAAGCAATTCGCACAAGGCGTTCTCAACGGAGAACTCTACCAACTCAAGACGCACCCGAGAGCGGCTTCCTCCAACGTGGCGCAAGGGTCCAAGGCGACTCTCCATGCGTGGCATAATCGGCTTGCGCACGCCAACTACGAATCGGTCAAGGCGTTGGCCAACAAAGGACTAGCGAAGGGAGTCGACGTGATCGCCGGCGACGACGAGAAGGGCGTGTGCGCGGCGTGTGTCGAAGGAAAAATGGCTCGCAAGCCATTTGGTAGCCGTACCTCTCCCCTCGCTAAGGACCCGCTTGCGCTTGTTCACATGGACGTGTGTGGACCGATGCGGCATGCATCAAAGGGAGGAGCGCGGTTCCTCTTGGTGATGCTCGACGACGCGACGCGGATGTGTTGGACCCGACTCTTGAAGGCTAAGGGAGATGCGACCAAGGCGATTCAAGAGTGGGCGCTCGAAGTTTGCGACGACGACAAGAAGCGGATCAAGTGTATTCGCACCGATGGTGGTGGCGAATTCGTGAATGCGGAGCTCGAGAAATGGATGAAGTGCAAGGGCATTAAGCACGACGTCACAACACCCTACACACCCCAACAAAATGGAGCGGCGGAGCGGCTTAATCGCACTTTGGTGGAAGCCGTTCGTTCTCTTCTTCAACACTCCAAGCTTGGGAGCGAGTGGTGGGGCGAGGCGAGTTCGCTAGCGGCGTGGATTCGCAACCGTTTGCCGACGAGGGTGCTCCCGGGAACGACTCCGTTCGAAGCATGGACCGGAACGAAGCCGAACCTATCCCGCCTTCGCACCTTTGGGTGCCTTTGCTACTACCATGTCCCGGATCCCCTTCGTCACAAGTTGCAACCGAAGGCTCGTGCGGCAATCTACTTGGGAATTGCGGCAAACGAGCGTGCGTGGCGAGTGTGGGACTTGGGTGAAAGGCGCGTCGTCACATCTCGAGACGTGGTCTTCGACGAAGACAAGTTTCCGTCGAAGGAACCACCAATGCCGCAACACACCGTCGTACTTCTCGCACGAGAGGAGGATGAGGCGGTGGAGGTTCCATCACAAGTGGACAATGAAGCCGAAAGTGGAGGGGGAGAGAACGAGGAGAGCGATGACGATGTCGTGGAGGTGCCACCAACCGAGGAGGCAACTCCCTCCGCACCTTCTTCCCTACCATTGGCGTTGACCCGTGGGCGTCGTACACCTCGCCCCAACACGAAGTTAGCCGACTACGCTACGGTAGCCGTTGGGGAGTTGGATGAGGAGCGTGCGGCATATTGCTTCGCAACCATGGGAGATGACCCTCGCACCCACATGGAGGCTTTGGCTTCTCCGGATGCACCTCTATGGAAGCAAGCGATGGAGAAGGAGCTAGCATCGATCAAGGAGAATGATGTGTTCGAGCTCGTCGACCCGCCGAAGGGTGCCTACTTGGTGGGGTGCAAATGGGTGCTTACGAAGAAGTTGGGAGCCGATGGGAGTGTCGAACGCTACAAGGCGAGGCTTGTAGC